TGGGAGAGATGGCCCCACCCTTCACCATGACCCTCTTGGCATGGGCATAGGAGAGCTGGCTCCACCCCCACTCGAGGACTAACTAGCTCAGCTACCACCTAGGCCCACAGCTGGGCCTTGGGTTGACCCATCCCAACATCTGCCACATCTATGACCTGCTGGAGTGCGTGAAGGGACTGGTCCTGTAAAATAATAATAATAACTGCCATGGAGGAGATAACAAAGAGGAGTTTTGGTGAGGGTCTAGTGATGATGGTGTACCAGAAACCAGAGGCCTTGAACCAGACCCAATGACTCATTGCAATGATCACTTATAAGTAAAGCTGATTGGACAAAAGGGTCTACTGTGTGACACACTGTGGCTCCCAATGTCACTAAGATGAATGAAGAGGTGTTGGAAAGGGAGGGAAAGACAGAGGAACAAAGAGGGTTTTTTGTTTGTTGTGTGGTTTGGTTTTAATTTTTTTAAATTTTATTTTGGAGGGGATGCTGCAAGGGCAGATATGGGGGTACTGGGCAATGAGTAAAATTGGAGTACATGATGTGAAATTCCCAAAGAATCAATAAAGAAATTGTTACATAAAAGAGTTTAGTGTATCCATTAAGGTGAAAAGGAATAAGTAAAGATTATCCTTTTACACTGCCTTTCTTTTACATAATGTATCAGAGTAATCAAATGATTGCTTTGCAATACTTTGAAATATTTCCTTTGTAGAATCCCAGAAAGTAAATATTGAAGGAACGACAGGATTGGTAAATCATCCACAACTTCAGCAGCAACCACCAAGAGCTGCTAAAGCTACATAGATTTGAAAGAGAGCCTGACAAATTTCACAATTAAGCTTGGTATCACTAGAAGTGGAATTACCAGTCATATGTACTTTGTGAGCTGATGCCTTGTCTTTCTAAATAGACTTCCTAAAATGAATGAATTGGCAAAATTAAAAAAAATAAATAGAACCAAAACTCTATACCCAAATTTCAATTTATGGAAAATTTGAGCAAGACATGTTAAATAATACAAAGAAAGCAGGGAGTCTAATCCAAGAACTGGGGCAATCGACTGCACAATCACTTGTTTATTCAACAAAGATAATGCTTGAGAAAGGAGGAAAGGAGGAATCCTTAGTCCAGAAAGAAGTGAGAGACTTAACATGCAACTATTGACCTTGTTTAGATCCTTGTTTAGCTAGTGGTAACCCTTTTCTAGAAAATTAGTGAAGAATTAATGTCAAGTGAACATGAAATGTTGCAAAAAGCACTAATTTTTAAAAGTGTGATTGTTTCGTCTGACCAATACAATAAAATGTTTAAATATCTTTATTAACTAGAGAGAGTCTCATTTACTTATCTATCACAATGCATGCTCTCTGGGATTTTTTTTTGTAAAGGTGTGGTGAATAAATGGAGGATTAGTTTATTAGAGGGAGTGCAGTAAAGAAACTGCCAAAATAACTCCCTTCTCAATTGGGAGAAGGTTTTCCCTATGGATAATAGAGAGAAAATATTTAGAGGCATCTTGAAGAGCCCAGAGCTGTTGCAGAGTATTTGTTCACACTGTGAAGATGTGCCTTTGCCAAGGCACCTTCTGATTGGTTTACTAAAGAGCTGAATGGTCAATAGCTAGACAGGAAGAGGTTGGGCGGGACTTCCAGTGACAGAGAGGACTCTGGGAAGAAGAAAGGTGGAGTTCACAGCCAGATGCAGAGGAAGCAGGATCGCTGTACAGAGATGCCAGGGAGGCACTGAAGAGGTCGGACATATGGTACAGAGTGGAGTTAACCAAGCCACAAGGAAGAATGTAAATTAATAAAAACAGGTTAATTTAAGTTATAAGAGCTAGTGGGACAGGCCTAAACTAATACAAGTTTTCATAATTAATAATAAGCCATCATGTTGTTATTTGTGAGCTGGCAGCCCAAATAAAAGTTTGACAATAAGAGCAGAGAAAAATAAAAAACAAAACAAACAAACAAAAACAAAAACAAAGCAAAAAAACAGACTAGACATAGCCAGGTGAGGGAAGCAGAGAGGAGAGAATAGCAGGAATAGCAAGAGATAAAATACCAAGCATAGCAAGAGAGGGAATAGCAGAGAATAATGGGTTATAACACACTGAGTAGCTGGGGGGTGAAGCAGAGGAAGCCAGCTTTTATCTAACTGCCAGAAATCCTTCTATAGTCCAGCTTGAATAAAGCCAAGACTGTCATTTCAGGACATGGGCATTGCTTTTTGAACTTTGGAGAATTGGAGTTTCCTTTGGACTGGACATTAACAAAATGTGGTTAATAGTTGAAGCTGGGTGATAGGAACACGGAAGATCCATCTCCATTAAAAACTAATAAAAAGCCTGGGTATCAAAGCTCACCTGGACTGATGTAGAAGTCTCATCACAGTATATGGTTTTGTTCCTGGCCTTTCATTCCAGTTTGGCCCCAGAAAATTTTCTTGGCATCTCATTATTTTAGACTCCTGTAATACATCTATTATAATATCTTTTACATAAGCATCACCTTGACTCATAACTGCCCCCAGATGAGAGACCCATCTACCGGTTTTACAAAACAACCCAAGAAATATGGTGACATTTGGCTAGAGCAGCACATACTTCTCTCTTCTGAGTGAGCAAGTGGAGCAGTGAATCTGAGCTATCTCATTTCATTTTCACAAAGGATTGCAGGATATGGTTTATATTGCTCTTTTACATAGGCAAACTTTTCTTTCCTGCCTGCCAATTCCCAAATAACCAACACGGAGACTCAATATTAATTATAAATGCTCAGCCAATAGCTTAGACTTGTTACTAACTAGCTCTGACAACTAAACTAAACCATATTTCTTATACCCTCTGCCACATGGTAGTACCTTTTCTCAGTACAGCATGCTCATCTTCTGCTTCCTTTGCATCTGCTGGCAACTCCTCAGACTCTGCCCTTCTTCTTCCTAGTGCCCTCCTAGTCTGGCTCTCCTGCTTAGTCTCCTCCTGACCAGCTACTGGACAATCAGCTTTTTATTAACAATGAGAGCAACACATTGTCGCAATGTACAGAAGGATTATTCCATAGCACTTTTACATCTTCCTTCATGACTTGCACCTGATGAGGCTGACAGATTTTACAATGGTTTTTGAGTCATGTGAAAATTCTCTGTGCATACCTTTTAATTGAAAAAGCAGGATTTTAGGGAGCAGTCACTTAACCAAGACGTCTCAGTATCAATATTTTAATATGTGCTCCCCTTCAAATAAAAATGTTTTATTTCATGTATAATTTAAATAATTCAGGCTACATTACGTGAGCTCCACCTTCAACTGTGAGTTGCTCTCACCAAGAATGCAGTTGAGGGGCCAGAGAGATGGCTCAGTGGTTAAGAGTGCTTACTGTTCTTGCAGAGGGCCTAAATTTGGTTTCCAGCACCCACATCCAGTGGGTCATAACCACTTATAACTCCAGCTTTAAGAGATGAAGCTTGCACACACAAGCGCACGCACACACACACACACACACACACACACACACACACACACACCCCTCAGTAATTTTTTTTTAAATGAACACAGCTGACAGTCACCTGACATTCTCATAGGCAGTTCTGGTTGAGAGCCACCAGGGGCCATTTACATGCCAAGACTATGATCTGCCACTGACCTGCATGCCTAGCTTCCACTACATTCTAGTGTTCACTATCCTCTTAGAGTTCTCTCAGCCTGGATAACTGAGAGCACCGTGCCAGCTTCTAGCAGATTACTACAAGGCCCTAGCTCCCTTGCTGTGTTCTCTTCAGTTCTACACAGCTTACCATGTAGTCTTTTAGAAAGGCTTTTACCACATAGAATAATTATCACTAAGCAGGGAAATTATCTTTTTCCTCTTTATATATTTTATATTCACTGCTTTATACATTATTTAAAATGAGACAAAAATTCCAAGTCAAATAATAAAGCTGCAGCCAGGTGTACAAGCAAGTTTCTACCTTTTCTGTACTGCACACAAGCTAACATATGCACATATACAAACACACATGTACAAACACACACATGCGTATACACAACCTTTTCCATGCTGCACACAAATGATCATGTGTACACACACACAATTTTCTTACCACACACAAGCTAACACACACATATGTACACATACTATATAGAAACACTCATGCATAAAAATCATTTTTTAAGAAGTAAATCTAGGCTGGGTGGTGGTGGTGCACACCTTTAATCCCAGCACTCAGGAGGCAGAGGCAGGCAGATCTCTGTGTTTGAGGTCAGCCTGGTCTACAGAGCAAGATCCAGGACAGGCTCCAAAGCCACACAGAGAAACCCTGTCTTGAAACTGCGCCCCCCAACAAAAAAAAAGAGTAAATCTAAGATTGGCACAAGTTGGAAGGTGACACCACTCACCCTAACCCAATCCCAAGTGTAGTCAAACCAATAAAATTACTTCTTCCACTTTAGGTGGTAGTTTGTGGCATTTTGATTAAAGAAATACTGTCTTTTTTTTTCTGACCCCCCCCCCCTTTTCAGACTGATTTCACAAAGGGTGTTTGATTTCGAAAGAAAATCCTCCTTTGCTACCATCACATTCTATAGATACTCTGGTTGATTTCATTTGACTCTATCAACTGTTTGCCAGTTGTGGGTAATTTCTTTTCTAAAAGCCAGTGACCTGTTTTTCAACCTAACCACTCAGGGCCCAGAAGTCATATTTAAATCTCACCAAACATTAGTGATATAAGCTACTACTAATTTTCTTTCATGATATAATAATACGTAGATAATTTTTTAAAATTCTAAAAAACCAGCCGGGCGGTGGTGGTGAATGCCTTTAATCCCAGCACTCGGGAGGCAGAGGCAGGCGGATCTCTGTGAGTTTGAGGCCAGCCTGGACTACCAAGTGAGTTCCAGGAAAGGCGCAAAGCTACACAGAGAAACCCTGTCTTGAAAAACCAGAAAAAAAAAAAATTCTAAAAAACATTCATAAGAGAATCTGGGAGACTGTCTATACACAAAAGAGGTAGAAATATGTTTTATTAGCATGTTCAAGGTAATAAAAATTTTAACATCTTAACCCTCACAACAACCCTGTGAGGTAGGTAAGTCATTGAACAATAAACTAATATCCTAATAAAGTGCAATTCCCTGAAGAATCTGCATTAAGAACAACTTAAGTCATTAATAATGTAACTGTACCATTTATGTATGTAGTTGCTAGTATCTGTATGTTGTATAGTTTGATTCATGCAATACATTGTTAGTAGAAAAGCTTGCTGTCAATCAAATCCCATTACCATACTTGGGGAACTATTTAAATAAACCCTGGGTGATTTTGTTTTAAATGCCATTCTTATTCTTGTATTAAAAATAATTTTCATAATATTTACTCCAAGTGAGACAGTGTTAGCAAGATTTCACCCACATTTACCCATCCTTACAGCAAATTTTCTCAACACGGCACCATAGCAATGTAAGATTTATAATGAAACCTTAGCAGTTTGGTATTTGGCAGTGAACTCTGCATTCATGTAAAGTCTTCAGATATACTGCACTCAATCTCAAACCCAAATACAAAATGATGTTATTTTATTGTAATGTAAACACTAAAATTAATGATAGTTCATCAAGTATTCTCCCTTGAAAAGATTCTCCTTTTAAATTGCAAAAAGATGAGTGACTTTAGGTTATTTATAACAAAACACGTATTCTGTTAACCATCAAATGCTGACTTCGCCTCCATGGCATTACAAACCCAGGCCTCCTGATGTCAGTGAGCAGTTTCAAGGGAGCCACATGTTACAATTTTTAAAAAATCTGAATTAGAATAAATATTACTAGGTACCCCACTTTCTTCTTAAATATATAAACACATTTCTATTGTTAGTCTAACACTAATAAATATCCAGCTGCCTAGTATTTTTGACAGTTGCCTTGTCTGCAAAATAACTTAGTAGAGAATTTTCGTTCCATTTAATGGTAAGATATTTAGGATTGTTATATAATGTGTTTGTAATGTTTACATTAACTGAAGTCAGAGGCTGGAAATGCACTGGAGGGTGTATATTTCAGCAAATAGTTATAGTAACTTACTACTACAATGAAATGGTTTAATCTACAAAAAAATTTTCCAATATATTTTTTAATTACCACAAAGAAATTAGCAAAGGGTAAAATAAACTAAGCAATGGGTAAAATAAGCTATCCATAAGCCGTACATTCAAATCCTACTAAATCCAATAGTGCACTTTGGAGGTAAGGCAAAGAAATACAGTCAGATAACCAAAATACTGACTTTTACCCTAGGATTTACTCATATATCTAAAAAGAAAAATTTAGAATTAAAACGACAAAGTATTTTCTTGGATTTAAGGATAGAAATGTAAAAACTGTTGAGGTATATATAAATAAAAATTACAAAGGCCATAAGATATATTTTATTTGAATATAACATATGCTTGTATAAAAATAACCCAGAAAATACTTAAAAATGCATTTTTGCATAGATCTTCCATATAAAACATTTACCTGGGGCAAAACACTGACAAATACATCTCTGAAACTAGTATAGTTGAACCGTTTCCTTGGATACCAAGTATATACAGAACAAGAGCCCTTCTTCTAGGGGGCACGGGCAAGCGGGAGAACAATTGAATTCAGCATCAGTCTATATTTATTTCTCTGCTGCTCGAATATAAACCAATGATGACAAGAGGAGAAACTCTGGGGGTTTATTTAACAAAATTAAATTCACATTTCTGAGTCCATCATAGTGCATCCAATGTCCATCTATCTGGAAAGCTGCAGAATAATGATGTTCCTCTTTGTTAAATAAAGTGGCACCTTCCAGTAAATACCTGCAAATTATAAATATATAATTTATATATGAAATACATAAAAGATCAGATTTCACTTTTTATGGTAAACAGTTCTTAAGTTATTTTTAAAAAATTTTATTTGCTTTTACAGATATATACTACCATTTCTGCTTCATCAGTAAGGCAACCAGTAAACGTTACAGATCTTGTAGAAGGCAGGACTAGGTTTGAAAACAGTCCTGTTCTATAATCAAGTCTCTGCTCATTATGCATGTTGCTAGTAACTGGCTTCCTCATAGTGGACTCTGATCACAGTCAGAATCCAGAAATCTAGAAAGCCTTGATTTATTTTAACATATCATCTTAATTTTTTTTCCCTGAACCAGGGTCTCACTGTGTAGCTCTGTCTGGTCCAGAACTCCCTGCTTACGACAGGTTAGCCTCAAACTCACCAGGCTCCTCCTGTCTTTGAGTTCAGACTACTGGGGTAAAGGCATATACCACCACGTTCAGCTAACAGTATCTTCTTAATGGCTAGTCAAAATCACAGTTTCATAAACAAACAAACAACAAAAACTACCTACTTGTGATCAGATAAATCCAAGTAATAGGGTACATATGCCAGATCTTCAGGTTTCCAATGCTGCATATTCAACACAACAAAAGGGGGTGCCCCATGGCAGAAAACTCGTTGGGAAAATTCTCTTAAGCCACCACACCTAAAATGAAAATTGGGCATGATCGTTATCATACATGGGACAAATGGCTTTTCAATACTTCTGAACTGTATTTAATTTTCTAGTAAGCACAGTTACTCTATTATAATGGGTAATGGTATGACTGTTTTATTACCTTATTTTCCTAGTCCCAGAGGTCTATATAGGGTCTATCCTCTATACTAGAAGTGATGCTTTAAGAACTTCTAGAAAAGTCGACTGTTTATATTAAGAGTTATAAAAGTATGAACCTGTTGAACCCTTGTAATAGCTTTTACTTATACATTCAGTTTTCTCTTCAAGGTGGTTTCAATGACTGAGGGAGAAAATGCCTCCTTTTTAGGTTTAGGATCTTCTATTAACATGAAGCAAATTCTCTTCTTTTTAGTATTAGTAAGTATTAAGCATACAGATCAAAACACAACTTTACAGTAAAATCTCGATTAACCGGAATGCTCAGGGCACAGTCTTCTGGTTGACAAACATTATTAACTACATTAAGTTAACCAGAAAATCATTTGCTTCAGTACTTGTTGCTAAAGTATGTAGGTTCCTTTTTTTTGTTTTGGTCTTAAAAATAATTAATGTATGCATCTTTATGTTTCTTATTTTTATGATTTTTTAATTGTTTTGTAAGACCATTCTTCAAAATATTAACTTCTAATGTATAAAATAATGTAGACATAGAAACTGCTAAATGATTTGGATAAATATTTATGCCCTTTTGACTTTTTTAAAACTGTATTAAATTTCTTGGTTTTCATTTACCTTTTTCCTAAATGAGGAATGCAGGAAAAAGTCCATTTAATTGAGGGTCCTGATTAGCCGGGTTCCGGTTAACCAAGGTTTTATTGTACCTACTCAGCAATGAGGAAAGAAAGAAAAGGTGTTTGCTTTGTATTCGTCAATGAGCAATAGTACCATATTGTATATTTATATCTGGTAACAAAACATAACATATGATGACATACTAAACTAGACTAGGAATACTGAAAAACTGTTAGGCTACATAAATATTTATGCATTGTTGTTTTAAAAGTGTATTAACTTCAGAGAGCTTACTAGTCTACATTTCTTTATAATGCAATAGAAATATTTTCAAATGTCTATCATGTACTCACCCACGCTCTTCACAAAGTTCAATCTTGGAACAGAATAACTCATCCACAGCCAGTCGTATCAAGTTTCCATGTGGAATTTCTTGGGGAGGACTACAATAATAGCAAAATCCAAGTAAGAAGGGATTTAACAGTTTAGGACATTATTAGAATGATAAATTTTAGAGGCTAAAGCATTATGAGCATAACAAATGATATGAAACATACAACCTCTGATATCTTTGGGTTTTTGGCTGTTTTAAGACAGGATCTCTTTAGCCCAGACTGGCCTAAAATTCACTCCGTAGCCCAGGCTAGCTTCAGTGATCCATTTGATTCAACTCTATGCATGTTGGCATTACATACATACAAAAGCATACATGATCAGCCTTGTGTTTTAGGCAGATACTATAGAAGCAGCTGAACTCTATAAATATTGCATGGATAAAGTTTCCTGTAAACTGATCCTGATGCATACAGTTGTTGCTACTTTCACTTTAAAAAAATGTGCCTTAACAGTTGAGTTCTGATGAGTAGAAAGTTGGATACAGAGTGCAGACAGCAGCTGATTAGCAAAGTAAACCCACTAACAATTGTGACTTGTTTTCGTTGCCTCATCTGTTAGAAATGCTTGCTCTGCAAACTTCAGAGTCTGCTTTAAATACAAGATTATAAAACATAAGCTTAAAAAAGTTCTACAGTATAATGAAAGGCATTTTAAGTGAGAAAAATACAAAACAGTATTAACACAGAATTACAGTTATATAACTATTCACAGATTGACAAGATGCTATTTAAAAAAACTGAATTTACAAAGCACTTCAGTTCATTATGGCAGAAAAAACTTCCCCTGGTGGGTTTCAAATCAACCCCATCTTACCAGCAATACAGGAAAATAGATGACATGTGGAATATATACAAGATACATTTCCAATCTATTAAGCTATTGTTCCTGACTATGGCCAAATTCACCCCTGGAAATGTCTGGATTCGCTTGTGGCACCAGTCCTTTTCCCTACCGGCCCCCTGAGACTTCAATGTCTGCCATCACTCCACCAGGTCTTCCCAGCTCGGCCTTCCCCAGCATCTTGGAGGTCTGTGTTCTCTCTGAAAGCCAAACACCACTCAGCTGCCCCCAGCAGTCTCCTCAGTCACATCCTCTCCAGAGACGAGAAGCCGAATTTGGAGTTTCTGTCTATAAATATTCTTGGCCTTTCCACAAAAGGGTATTTTTAGTTCTCTTGTTTATGTAGAACTAGTCTTCCTGACAGAGGACCATTCAAAAGATGAAACACACCCCCAAACATTAAAAATTTAGCATTTAAGAGGTTCAATCTTTGGCAGAGAACTTAGTAAACTTGGACCAGGAACGATTCCCTTTGCATATTGGACCATTTCTTTCTTTGCTACTAAGGAGCTTTCGGGTGGTTTTGCAGACAGACACATGTAATTAAGCAAAGCTCATTAACAAATAATGTGACAGGACAGAGTTGAGATCGACTTACTTTATACTAATTGTGCGCTGCTGATCTTCCTGCACTCGGGTCGGGCAGCGCCAGTTAGAACAGTAACTCTCTTGAATGGTAGACATGAGATTTTCAAGATTTCTTGTAAAATTGTCATGCTCGTTCCCAAACAAATCGATTACTAATGAAGCTTTATGAACTTCAGATTTGTATTGCTGTTTTTCCATCTTGTCCCAAATCCAAAGCAGCTTCACAGTTGTAAAACTGTAGGTGTCCATTAAATAAAGAAAACAGTCTACAAACTCCCTGCCAAAGTGGAGAGAGAGTTCCCTGGGGAAATTTTCATTTTCATTAAGAATGACATACAGTAACATCAAGAATCCATCTATGGTGCAGGTATTTTTCAGTCTGATTTCAACATAGAGGGGTGTACAGGATACTGCTTTGCGGCCAGCTTTGATAGTAAAAACTCCTCCCCAAGGAAGAACAGGCCTCCAAAATGATCGATCTTGGTTATAGTTATTTTTAATTGATGCTTTGATCTCTTCAAACAGTGTCTTCATCCTGCATTTCAAAAGTGCAAAATAAAACATCTAATGGAAGGAGATATATTTAAATGAGAATAAATCTACTTACAGAGTCCAATTAGATTGTTAGGTGGCCTCCCAATATGAAAATAACAACAACAATAATTTAATGATTTTTTTTTAAAAGTTTATTTTTATTTCATGTGCATTGTTGTTTTGCCTGCATGCATGTCTGTGTGAGGGTGCCACATCTCTTGGAACTGGACTTTCAGACAGTTATGAGCCACTATGTGGGTGCTGGGAATTGAACCCAGGTCCTCTGTAAAAGCAGCCAGTGCTCCTAACCACTGAGCCATCTCTCCAGCCACTTAATTCCAGGAACTTTGATTTCGCTCTGTAGACCAGGCTGGCCTCGAACTCACCTGGCTCTGTCTCCCAAGTGCTGGGATTAAAAGTGTGCACCACCACCGCCCGGCTAATTTAATGATTTGCATGGCTCAGGCGTCTCAGGCAACATGCATGGTCTTGGTCTCTGTAAAGACCGTTGAAGAAGTCAAAACCTACGACAGCAAGATGGTACCATTCAAGCCTGAAAACCTGAGTTTAATCCCAGGAATCCACAGAAGGGTGGAAGGAGAGAATTAACTTCACAAAGTTGCCCTCTGACCTCCACACATGCTGTGCTATGCATGGCTTTTCTCGAGTGTGCATGCACACATACAAATAACAAATATCTCTTTTTAATTTTTTTTTTTTTTTTTTAAGAAAAGAGCTTTGAAGCCAGTGGTGGCCACACCTTTAATCCCAGCACTTGAGAGGCAGAGGCAGGCGGATCTCTGTGAGTTCCAGGCCATCCTGGTCTACAGAGTGAGTTTCAGGAAAGGCACCAAAACTACACAGAGAAACCCTGTCTCTAAAAACAAACAAACAAACAAAAAAGGGGTTGGGGGAGGCTGGAGAGGTGGCTTGGTGGTTAGGAGCACTGGCTGCTCTTGCAGAGGACCTGGGTTCGGGTTCTCAGCACCCACATGGAGGGCTTACAACTGCCTTTACTCCAGTTCCAGGCAGTCCAAAGCATGTATACTGTACACACACACACACACACACACACACACACACACACACACAAAACACTTTAACACATAAAATTAGGTCAATCTTGAAAAAAAAAAAAAACAAGCCAAATCTCTCTTTTTAATGTGTAGAATGACCATCTGATGGGCCTTTGTATTAATTATATTAGTTTCTATCTGTGATATAAGAAAACCTTGCAATAAATTCTAAATGAAAATAAAACTACTAAAAGATTTAAACTTATGAAAATGTCATAGAGATTTGTTAAATTACAAGATACATATTGAATTTAATTGGTTTTATTCTTAATGTAAGCAGCTTTCTACCTTCCCAGGTACAAGTTGTACTTCAGTTCCTTGTTAATCCAGGCAGTTCCACTTAATAATCCACTGAAATGACACCTTCAGATATTTTCAAGCACAAAAGAGCCATCTCTTGGTCTTTACATTAATTGTACTGCAGAGGGTACCTAGGCTATAAAACAACCACCTAAAGACCTGTTGCTCTCCATGAAGGCTAATCTGGCATTTGACTTTGGAAGACACAAGAGAAGTGAGCACAGCCCTTCAAACAGTAGCACAGCTATTATTTCTATTCACTGCGGGATATTTATGTGCATCCTAGATTTGTGCCAGTCTTCATTTTAACTACGGAGGCCATGCGATGCGACTCTCAGGGCATAATACCCTGATTCTCCCCTCTGCATGTTCTGGGAATAAACTGGAGTGTCCCTCCCCTTTCCTTGAGGACAGCCAGACACTGTAAAGTCACAGACACTACTTCAATAAAGGTGTTGTGTTCTATGTATGTTACATAAAACAATAATAATAATAAAAAAAAACAAACGGTTCTTGCTGAAATTGTTTCGTAAAAGTTGCTTCACTTTACTTGGAAAAATAACTATAAATTACAATATTGCTTTCTAATATGCTACTTTTACAGAAAAGTTTATTTTTAGGAAAAGGGGGTGTATCTGAGCAATAGAAACAGGGAAAGAAATAGCGGAACCCGGTCTCTCTGTGCAGCTCTGGCTGTCCTGGAACTCACTCTGTAGACCAGGCTGTCCTGGAACTCACTCTGTAGACCAGGCTGGCCTGGAACTCAGAGATCCACCTGCCTGTGTCTCCAGAGTGCTGAGATTAAAGGTGTGAGCCAGTGTCTTATTTTGACCACCTTTTCTTATCAAATATTACATCCTCTTAAACAACACAAACACAATGATAAACCTGAGTTTTATGTCCAAAATTAAGTTCAAAACCATTCTGTGGTACTAGCAAATTCTGTTGTACATTAAACATGTACACTGCTTTCCACTTGAGGCAAGATATTGCATTCTAAATTACTTGGTACTATATTTAGTTTGAAATACGGGTGTTTATATTTAGTCTGTTAACACGCTGGCTCTCATCAATTACCGAATCAGCCGAGTGTGGCAAATCTGAAGCCAAGGAGAAAAACATATTTCTTAATACAAATTGACCAGTTAGTTTCATTTAGTTTTTTTTTTTTTAATCCTAAGACTTTCAAGCATTTTAAAATGAGAAAAACTTTTCATGCTCTTCATTTTATCTCTTGAATCTTAAAGAAATTTGTAGCAAGGTTTAGGAGCTTGAGTTCGGATTCCTAAATACTATACTGGAAAGGAAGACTAAATCCTAGTGTTTCTGTTCCAATTATCTTGTGGATGTGGTCAAATGAAGAATAACCACAGCTATGAAAAGCAATGACTATAATCTGCAACGCTTAGACAGCATGGATACACAGAGCACAAACCTAACTTTAAAGGCAACACCGGAAGATCTTGAGTACACTTAAAATCCCAGCAATACATCGGTCAGTTGTGCAGATGTAAATTGCAGTAAAACTTGAAAAAAAAGGAGGTGGGGCCGGGGGAGCGATGGCTGCAAAGAGCTTTACTGAAATAGCCCCGAGTTTCCAGCACGCCGCCGTCCCTGGAGGATGCACTCGCCGGCTCTTACCTGCCTCCATCCCAGCTCCTTCCGTGGGACCCAGCCTGGGAAACTCCCTAACCTCAATTTCTCCACCCGCGCGGTCATGCCCGGGGGGGTCACAGGGTGTTCCCCGGAGGGCTCGACCACCTGTCGCGGGAACCGAACCCCGCACAACCCAGGGTCGCGGGACTCGCCATCATCCCAGGGGGGTGGGGGGTGGGGGGT